TGATAAAAAGCCATTGTGAACCCATCCGGCCCTAGAGCTTTTGTTCTATCCATAGAAAACAYAGCCTCCTTRATCTYTTCYARAKYAAAKCTTCTTTCCAACCTTCTCCTGTTCTCCACCCCTACATCTGGCCAGTCCAAACCTTCTACCCACACCCTTCTACTCACAAGCCTTCTTAGAATAGATTTGAAATGCTCCACACAGGCCCTGGCAATCTCCTTTCCTTTAATACTAAAATAAACATACCAACTTTTTCCCCAAGCAATGTAATAATAGATTCTAGAATATTCTTTAAGCATTTATATTAGGTCTATACTGGAAGTACCTTCTTTTCACCCCCCCCCCTTCCCTTCTAATTAAAACTCAAATAGAACCTGTAATGGCCTCCAAAAATGGCCCACCATTCACCCTCAAATTTTATAGGTAAGAGAAAAGAAATGACTTCTTTTTATATAAAAGAAATGACTTTTATAGATCTTAATAATGTCAGCTTCCTTAAACCATTTAAGTTTAATGCCTTTAAGTGCTGCGTATGCACATTGCTGATTTTCTAGTGTCAATGCCCCAAAATAACACTTTAACAGCAACAGAAAGCAGAATGAGATCCAAAACATTCAAGAAATGGCTGATATGTTTGTCCCTAATCAACTCTTGTTTCACAAGTAGCAACCTGCAAATATAAACTTAAATAGAAAAGCAAAAAGAAAACACATAAGACAATAAAGTGCAGAAATAGAAGATTTATGGAGAGAATAATAGATCTTCAAATACTACCTACAAATAGGAATTATGGTGCCTCGCTTTAAGACAAAGACATAATGCACAATTGGGTTTTCATGCATGGTTAAAGGTCAGCAAGTATTCTAACATTTCCATTTTAATGGGCATCAAAATGAATCCTACTTGTAACGTTTCCAAAAAACTCCCTAATATTTCAATATGTTTTATGTGTTATTTTGACTAAATTGTTATTTCCTAATTATTCCATTGCAATACCTCAGTTCCATGCATTATGTATTATGTATGGCCATATATCTCATTCTTTTAGATTCCTAGAAAGAAAAAGTAGTATAACAAGCTATTTTTCCTTTGTATTTGAAGGGTACTGATAATTGGTATATACTAGTTTTGATAAACTAGGGCCGGACCAACAGAAAAGACCAAAAAATAACAAAAATAATAAAAATTAATGCATATTAATTTCATAGTTGGCAGTTCAAACCAAGACAAGTCATTAGTCATATAAGATGCTYGCTTTTCCAACTGCATGCTCTTCTCAGGTTGACCCACTGCCACTGCTACCACCATGACCCATCACCGATGCTGATCCACTGTCACTGCTATTGCAGCTGCTTGAGGGCCACTGTCATCCTGTAACTGCTCTATGCCCCCTCCCCCCCTCCTCTGTTCCTTTGTTGTTATTGCAGCCACTAAAGAGGCCCTGTTGGCTTGCTGGCTGCCACTGCTTGATCTTTCTCTTCCCTCTCTTTCTCATTTTTTTATCTACGGTTTTAGAAGACCAATCCATAATCTAAGGGAGGAAATCCATGATCACAATCTAAAGGTTGTAGTGCTATTATGGGTTGAACCACTAACCCACCATCCAGAGGGAAAAAGCGGTTCCAGAATCTTTTTTTTTTTTTTAAATACTAGTAATTTATAGTAAAACTATAACTTTAAGATATCGATTATACCTCCTTTTTCATCTCACAAATATCACCAAAGCATTCCAAATATTTTTGCAATGCTTTCACAATCCTTTCAATATTCCAACACAGCATTTTTAACATATCCCCAAAGGAGGTTGCGGGTGCCTTGATGGCTAAAACTGAAGTTAGGTAGTTCGCTCTACCCTTGAAATTTGTATTATTTAATTATTTTAACAACTAAAAGACAAAGCAATTCTTTCAGTTCAGCAACTTCAACCAATATCAAGTGGCCCCTTATTAGATTTTACATTAAATAAAATGAAGAAAAGAAATTAAATAATATATGTCTTCCATAATAGGGAATATTTCACTCATTTACCTACAGTTCCTAATTTTATGCTTCTTTTATTCAATGGCAAGAAGTCAAGACTTGGGGAAAGGGGCCAAAAGAGGCCTCAAATAGGCAAGGCAACGGGACAAACTTAAGGGGAAAAGGGACCCACCAAACAACAAGACATCATGGAGGTTTCATCTCCCAACACAACTATCTTCCCCCAACCTCTCCGTTAGCCAGACCATCAATCATCCAATTGACAGATCTCAGGATCTGAATGATATGTTTACTCTAGAAGCAAAGGCTCTAACCTCTATAATAAAATATCTCTAAATTTCAATCTATCTGAATTGTTAGTCAACCAGTCCGGAACAATCTGAGTGTCACCTCTACTTAGAATAGTTTTACCCATTTCCATTTGTCATGCAGTAATTTATTGTCATATAATACGTTAGTAATTTGTTTGATTATTCTTTGTGGTTTCCTAAAATATCATCTCATATTTCTTATTAAGTTTCCATGATCATTACAAGATTGACCCAAAATTTTTAACGTTCCCAACATATTTTTCATCTCTAAATGACTAATATTCCCCCAAAGACCATTTATCAAAAATAAATAAATAAATCCCCCAATGACCATTTTCTTGGTATTATGTACTAAGTTTAGCATGGTCATTTTCTATTTTTTTTAGAAAATGGGGTTTAATTCCCCAATGGGGAATTTCTAAAACAAAACTTCTGAGTATGAGAAGGCTTTGCTTGGAAGTGTTTAAATTTTTAGTAACTTCTGATATATAAGTGATTAACTGAATATTCTAAAACAAAACTTCTGATATATTTTTAAATTTTTAGTAACTTGGAAGTGTTTATCCATGCTTCTTTTTATCATTTCCTAAAATATACAAGTGATTAACTGAATATTTTGCAACACTTCCACAACCCTAATAATATTCTAAAACAAAACTTCTGATGTATTTTTATATTTTTAGTAACTTGGAAGTGTTTATCCATGCTTCTTTTTGTCATTTCCTAAAATATACAAGTGATTAACTGAATATTTTGTAACACTTCCACAATCCTTATAATATTCTAAAACAAAATTTCTGATATATTTTTAAATTTTAAGTAACTCATCATCATCATCCAAGCCTTATCTCAACTATATGGGTTGGCTACATGAATCCTGTTTTTCCGTTCCGTTCTATTTAATGCCATATCCATTGTTAAGTTATGAGCACTTAAATAATTTCTTACTACTTTGGCCCATGTCCTTTATGGTCTACCCCCAGCCCTTCTAGTCCCTTTAACTTGCAACAAATCACTTCCTTTTACAGGTGCTGTTGATGGTCTTCTATGCACATACTAAACCATCTTAGTCTACTTCATCTCATTTTATCACCTATTGGAGCTACTCCTAGGTTCCCTTCAAATGCCATTTTTCAAATTTGGTTTCATGGATTCTATCATGAGCTGTTGTTTTTTTTTTTTTTGATAATCTATCATGAGCTGTTGTTCAGATTATGATAATTGCATGGAGGATGCAATTAAACACCCCCATAGAAGCCCTTTACATAAAAATGAGATGAAGTTTGAAATTAAACACCCCCATGGATACAAATCAAATCTTTATCTGTCAGATTCAGTTTGGATTTGATCATATTCAAATTCAAATTTGATATACAGCCCACTAGAAGCCCTTTACATAAAAACACCCCCATAAATCAAAGCGTGAAATTACCTAAAATGAATTCTTCCTATTTGACATTCGCAAAATCCTTCAATGGTAATGTGGGTCCATTGAGTACATGATGCTTTAGCCTACAAATGTCAAAAGGACTTCTAAGGCCCTTAATGGATCTTCCTATTCACTGTATTTAAAATTGATCCAGAAACAGAACTGCTTCTTTTGTCCAGGGGGCAGGCCAGCAGTTCAATATTCCAGGTCAAACTGGTTAAGTTGTAATGTCATAATTAAATAATAAATAGAGAAATATAAAACTACATAAAACTTGTAGAAATTTTGGGTATATCTCTAATATTATATAATCATCTTATTAAACAAAAATAACTGTGATAAATAAGAATTTTTATTAATGATGGAAATGGCTAAAAATACCAAAAATAGGTAAAAGAGAATTAATATTTGACCCGCGAAATGGTTCAGCAATTCAACCAGCCAGGTCACTGGGTCATTGACCGAGTCAATAGTTTTTTTTTCAGGCAAGTGGTTCAGTAGAAAAACAAACCTGAAAATCTGGCTGGGTGACAGGTTCTGACCAACCGGTTCAACCATTGGTTGAAATCACTGTTCCCATTTCTTTCTCTTGGTGTGCTTCAAAATATAATCATAAAAAATACAAATCCCCCAAGCCCAAACTAATTTCTGTTCAAAAAATTAAGAATTAAGACACCATTAATCAACAAGAGAAAGAACAACCCAACCAGCATTAAAGGTTCAAACAGTGAACAGAATAAGCTCCAAAGCTCATTAGTCTCAAAATAAGAAGGGGTGATCTAGAGATTCTTCACCACCTTGTGCATTAAACATATTTTAAAAATTTGAATCTCCTTATGGTTGAGATGGTTCACAATGCAAAAATTACCCAAAATACAAGCCACATATAAGAAGGCCACCCTCCAAACTACCTATGATTGAGATGCTTTGCCATGCAACAACGTCCATAAGCCCTTTTCTAAAGATAGGACTTAAATTTACTTTACATTCCACTATCCAAACTGTCCCATGACTTCACTCCAGGCAACATAGGGCATCTTCCAACTTCTAGAAAAGGATGGCACAGTAAACAATCTTCCTAGCCAACAGATGAGAATTGAATACTGGGTTCCAAGTTATCAAATCACCACAAGTTACAAAAACTTATCAAATGATGCCGTGATCAACTTGGGAAGAAACTCTATAAAGAGAACAACACATAAAACAAAGAATCTCAGGTTCACAACAACCATACTCCCAAGACTAAACATTTTTTATCAGTTCCAAAAACTCAACATCCAATTTAGGAAGACCCCATGATTCAATATAGTATATAATACCTAGACTGTTACATATATGTGACAACAAATACTTAGTCTATTTACCTAATGCTCCTCACTTCATAATAAGTTAATAACTAGGGAATATTCATTTATGTTTCAATTATTTCCTATGATATCAACAAATAGTTCAAAAATACAAGTTATGATATTTTTACCAATCTTTACAATATTAGGACATGAAATTCCCAACATCCTTTCCATTCTTAGAAATCAACATTCCCATAGTTACAACCATACGAAAGTTGGTTCATGTTCACAGTAACTGCATGGAGGATGCTACCATTAAGCACAAAGAATTTGCAGGTCTTCCCTTCTTTTTAGACTTTGATGAGATATGCACATTAAGCATACCTACCTCCAAATTAAGAACTGCAACATAGAAAGTTATAAAGATTCAAGTTTTAATACAATGATAGCACGGTGATAAAAAATACCAAGATACTAAAGGCCAATTTTAGGGGTTCTCCAGGCTGCCTTGAAGAATAAATTTAATGTTGAAAATTATAAAGATTTGACATACTTCTAAAGAGATGATTCTCCAGGCTTCCTCGAGGCATAAACTCATATACTAGCAGCCTTTGATCATCCTCAATGCAGTAGCCAATCAATTTGACCAAATTAGGATGGAGGAGGTCACCAAGAAAATTTACTTCAGCCTGAAAGATGGAAAGAATGTGAAAATATCCATTCATCATTCACGCCTTATCCCAACTATGTGAAAATATCCATTATAGAATACATACATTCGTACATATATATATATATATGAAGAAATAGCTCATACCAGCCACTCTTTATGGCCCTGAAGTCCATCATGATTGAGGGTTTTAACCGCAACAGTAAGCCCAGTCCCAGGTTTAACAGGAGCAGTTCCATTCTCCTCAATCCATCCCTTGAAAACACAACCAAAGCCACCCTCACCAAGAAGACTTTCTGGCCTAAAGTTCCTTGTTGCAGACTTAAGCTCATTAAATGTGAATCTTCGAAGCTGAGAAGCAACTTTCAATTCCTCTCCTACTTTGGGGGTGGAAGGGATACTCTCACCATTGCTAGTGGTTGTAGAGGAGACTACTGGAGCAACTGGTTGGTCTCTACTAGTATCATTTGTAGATTTACTTTCCGCTGATCCACACACACAATCAAAACATTAAATGCATAAATGAGTTTATCTAGTTCCGCTAGTCACCATAGAGAAACGTTTATTATTTGTGGAAGTGGAACTATGACAATTTGCAGTAAATAGCCATCAATCAAGATCATCTAGTTTTACCAATCACTCTAGAAAGCCATTTATTGTATGTTGAAATGTGACAATCCTTAGGAAACCATGCTGCGGGCCAGAAACGGCAAAGTAGTATAATGGGAGTAATTTTCAGAGAGAACAAAGAAAACAAAATTGATCAAAACATTTTCCTATCTTAAAACCCACAAGAATAACCTCTTCATAAAATTTGAATCTTCCCCAAGAAAATAATAAAGGTGCCAAATGGTCAAATACGTAGAAGCTCAAGACTTTTTAATTAGGAGAACAGAGGAAAAGGGACAAATTGGTTACTGTCAACATAACATGCAAATAAAATATGCTATATATAGAGTTGATGAAAACAACGCCTATTAAGCGGCAGGAATACAAAATTTCTTCATAAATTCAGATGCTCTGGCAAAAAAAATCGAATAAGAATTTAAAGTATCCACACAAATGAACACATCTAAAATGCCAAAGAATTTCGTGAGTAAAAAAAGATTACCATAATGCGTACTGGTGCCACTTATGGAGGTATCCACTTTGGATCTTGAAGAGATGCAGGAACTCATAACCAAAAGCCTAAATTTAATCCAACAACCAGGCTCCTCGGACTTGCCTTCTTTCTTCTTCTTTTCCTTTGATTTCCCCACATCCCATGATTCCGCCTGAATAACATCAGGACCTACTCCCATCTTTAAGAAGCGTTAATTCAACAGTTCATATCTCAACAAGACACAGAACCTATCAAACAACCGCTGCCCCTTAACCAGCCAGAGATTGGAACCCACAAACGAAATATATGACACCACCTTAAAAGCAAAAAGAAAACCTTTGTAATAGAAACTTCAGAGTCAGCATTGAGACCCCAAATACGATGAAACAACAGAGATCATAACTTGCAAAGTCCCCGAGAAACATAAAACATTCCTTTTCAGCTCAAAATTACTCGAACCCGGTTCAGAAATATATCCGGCAGAGCCCAAGATGACTAAAAATCACCAAAAGGCGCAGATCATACATAGACCAGCCCTTCAAATAAAAAGTAACAAAAACGTCTGAATTGTCTGGCCAATACTAGAAGAATAAGCTCAACCCCCGACAAGAAATGCCCGCACGGAACTCCAAAAACCCTAGAAATAAACTCACGATGAAAGCTGACCAGTTCAGAGCCAAAAAACAACTACTCTGAATTAACTCCTATCGGATTTGTCTTCGCTCTCTCCACTCAAGAAGACTACGGATTTCAAAAGCAAAATCGAGCTGACCGGAGAAAACGGGCAGAGGGGTTTACCTGCCCGAAGCCAAAAATGGAGAGCCGACCGTACAGGTAGCTTTCGCAGACGTTGAAGTGTGAAAGAAAGGCAGCATCAAAGATAATCCCTCTGTCTCTAAAGAGAGAGTGGTAATAAAACCAGAAGAAAAAAGGTGAGAGAGGGGTGGCGATGAATAGAGATCAAGAGATGTACTTGGAGAGAGAGAGAGAGAGAGAGAGAGAGAGCGCTAAAGAACGGGCAGCTCGGGCAGCAGAGAGAGAGAGAGAGAATTTGGCCAACCGGTGGGTTGTTGTTGTGCCTTGCCCTTGCAACAGTGACAAGCATGTTCCGGACATCAAACTCCTTTTTCCGAGATTTCTTTCTTTATTTTATTGTTTTTTATCACTAAATTAGTCCTAACATGCTAACACAAATATTTTCCTAATTAAAAAAAGATAAACAACACAGACCAAAGCTAGCACCACGCGCTGTGGCAGGCAACTGCCCTTCAAATCATACTACGGCAACACTATATGCCCTTTAAACTACTCTATAATTGCAACATTGCCACTATTTATATTTTGTCCTTTTGTATTGAAGGCCCACTCGGGCTGTGCGGATAAGATGACTAAACGATAGAGATAAACTCAGAGCATGAATGAGTACAAAATTTTAATTAATTATAAAACCAAACACCTCCTAATCCCGCACAAACAGCTTTATTAAGGTATCTCCTTTTGTAATTAAAAGTCAGTTGGGATTTTGCAACTGAAGGATAATTGACGTTAGGAATGAGACGGACAGAATTGCCCAAACAATAGTATAACAATAAACTTGAAGGACCATCATTTTTGGGGTAGTATATGGTAATAACATACCATCCAAAACTATGGCCATCCCTCAATATTGTCCCGCCTATGAAAAGCACAGGTCACAAGGCATGTTACGGATGGTGAGATATATTAGAGGCAAAATTTTTCAAAACCATGATAATTATGTAATAATACTAAAACTAAATTTTTCTCTATCTTTTATTTATTTATCCCACAAACGCCCCATATCATATCCCAAATTCCCAACGTGTATTGGGAATATCTCCCATTGATGTGCATGTGATGGTAGGGGGGAGTGTTGATGCACAACAAGGGTATTTTGGATTTTCAGACCAAATATATAATGTGTGTATTATTTATTTATTTATTATAAATGTATTTATATTGCATATTTTTAGTTTTTTATAAAAAATATGTATATATGTATATGATAAAAATAGTTGAAAAAATACTTGTGTTTTTTATTTTTCTTTATATAAATTGCTATATATTTTTTCCTTTTAATAATTTATTAAAATTTTTATACATTAAATCAGATATGATTATATATGAATATCCAACATTCTTAATGGATTCAGATTTAAATCGATGTTTTGAGACCTAATCGGATCAGATCTACTATTTGTATTATTGAATCGGATTCAGATATACCTGGTTTGAATCCGAGGCTGATCCATTTACATATCTATTCATTTGATCCCAAGTCTAGAGCTGTAAATTGGATCGTGTTGGACTGGCACGGCACAACCTGCATAAAGAGCAGGTTGTGCTTCCCTCCCTTGGGATAAGTTGGGGGGTTGGCCTAGCACGGCCCACGACCCAAGCCCGTACAGGCCCGTGCCATGTCGGGTTCTATTTGAAAACACAAATAAATTGATTTTTTTGTTTTTTTTGTTAAGTAAAAACTAAAATGCTTAACTTTCCTTTGGGAACAATTGAACAAATTGAAAAATAAAAATTCTAACAAAGAAATGAAAAAATACTTAACAAAATACAAAATGCCAAATGGACAACAAATTGGAAAAAAAAATAGGAATTTTATTTCATTGAAATTTGAAACTTCAACCATACAATGGTCAAAAAATACTTAACAAAATGGAATAAAATATAAAAAATTACATTGTTGAAAAAATAACAAATAATTTAAATAAAGTTGAATAACAAAATTTACAATAATTTTAAAAAAATATATACACAATTATTGAGTATACAAAAAATATTGTCTTCATCATTTTTCTTCAAGTTCCACCTCCATCTCCATCTTGATTTCGATCATTTACTTCAAGTGAATCATCAGGTGTAGTGTCATGCTCTCCTTTGTCTTGTAATCTATCCTCGACATCTAGCCAATCTTTGAAACAAATGTACATTTCCAGACTTTCATCAATCATGTAGCTTCTCTTGTCATCTAGTACCCTAGTACCTACACTAAAACAAGACTCTGATAGAATTGTAGACACCAGAGGGGCTAGTAGATCACGTGTCACGGTGGCAAGGACTGGATAATTTTTTTATGTCCACTCCACCATGCTAAAATATCAAAAATATTCATTCCTTTCAAGCAAGGTTCAAGTATCGACACATATCGACTAATACGTATCATGCCGATGGCTTCCCAATACGCCCCTCCATAGGTTATTGGGTCAAACCATGGTTCAGAGGGTAGTCGGGCCTTAAACCGATCCCTCTGAACTGGTTTTGAAAAAATAAATAAAACTTAAAAAAAGTACTGATACAAGTTGATATGCCCTATTAGCATATTGGCCTATGTTGATACTTTGAACCTTGCTTTCGAGTCGAAGGAATCACTTAAACTAGAAAAATTTGCTTGTAAATAAAAATTAAGTTCAATAAATGAACTTGTTGATGGGGTGGCAACTAGAGTTGTTCATGGGCTGGGTGGCCCGACGGGCCGGCCCGGCCCAGCCCCTGGACGGGCTTGAACACGCAAATGGGCCCGCGGGCTTAACCTCGGGCCAAAAATCCCGGCCTGTAATAAATTCAAGCCGGGCTCAGGATTTGCCAAAATAGCCCAGCCCGAGCCCGGCCCGGCCCGACCTATAATTAAAGCTAAAAACCCTAGTCGCGAATACCCCTCTTTCTTTCACCTCTTTTTCCAGCCGAACCTTTCTTCTCCACATCCTCCATAGTTCTCAGTCCTCACACTCTTAGACAGCCACACAACCAACGAAGCGGTGAACGTTCACCGACGCAACAACTCCAGCGGTGAGTCCTCTCCTCTCTCTCTCTCTCCTTCTCTCTCTCTCTCCTTCTCTCTCTTTCTTTCTCTCTCTCATTCCTCTTCTTAAATCTCACTTCTCTTTCGAATCTCAAACACTGGCGACGGCGAGGCGGCGAATATAGGCACCAACGGCGGTGGTGAGTTCTCTCTCTCTCTCTCTTGCTCAGACGTGAACTGATCACTGTTAAAATCGTAGGTCGCAGCTCACAGTCACTGCGAACTCAGCTCCGGCGAACACAATCACCAACGGTGAGTCCTCAGGCTTCGGGCCCAAGTTGTAGGCCCGTTGGTCGGGCCGGGCTCGAGCTTGGGTCTAACAAATTTCCATTAGTGAAGAGTAAAAGCCCGACTCGAGCCCAGCCCGGCCCGGCCCATGAACAGGTCTAGTGGCAACAGATTTCTGCCTCCTTATTAAAGACCAAACTCTATCTTTTGCACTTCCGAAACAAGTTGTTTCAGAAGTGAAAGTTGCACTTGTACAAGTTGTAGATTTTTTATTCTATATCATATTAGACTCATATAAACTATACATTTCAAATAATAAACTATTAATCCTAGGATCTAATATTGCAGCTAAACAATAAAGAGGAAAAATGTTTTCCCAATATTTTTTAAATTCATTTTCCATTACTTCAATAATACTTTTAAATTATAGATTTTTTCTATATGTTGCAAAACATTCACTGATCATGAATAATTGATTAACTAAAAGACAACTAGTTTGGTAATAAACAACAAAAAATTCTTTAGTTGCATCATAAAAATTGTGTAAAAAATCTCTTATACAAATAACCATTTCCCAATTTTCATAAAGTATAATATCATGTGACATTTTTGAATTATAAAAATAAAAAAGAATTTGTTTACAAGGAATACAACTTTATACCATAAATAGTTAGAATTCCATCTATGTTAAACATCTAACATAAAATGTTTAGATTTTAAACCATAATTATGGCATGAATATTTAAATTTTTGTTTTATTGCTCCAAAACTTTTAATATATATATATATATGATGAGAAATAATAATTAAAGCATCTTGAATACATAAATTTAAGATGTGACATACACATATAATATGAAATAATTTACCATTAAAATGAGGTTTTAATTGAGATTTTAAAATATTTATTGTTGGCATTATCAAAACTAATAGAAAAAAAGTTTATTGTCAATTTCATAAGCATGTAAAGTATTTAAAATACTTGTAGCAATAGTTGGGCTAGTATGTGGTCATTCAAGCCCAATAAAACTTATTAATTTTTTTTTTTTTGTAAAAGCTAGTTTTCATCAATAAAATGACTGTTAACACAAATATAACTTATATTAAATTTATAGGTCCAAATATCAGAATTGAAGTAATTGCAACTCTAGAATTAAGATTTGATAACATAAAAATTAAATCTAGTTTATATGAATAAAGAGTTTTCAAAGCATTTGTTTTAATAGTATTTCTATAAACTTTTTTAAATTGAGGATTTACAAAATTATGTAAAAACTTTTCAAATTTACTATCCTTAGCTAATAAAAATGGTTGTTCAGCATGTACAATATATTTTGCCAATTCTTGCCTCATTTTTTCTCGTGAATATTTAAAAGTACCAAAACCCCCTCCCAATTTGTGTTTGGGATTTTTATTTCCCTTATTTTTCTTATTGTTTCTCATGTGTGAGCAAATGTCTACCCAAGTAGCCAGTACCACCCTTACTATAATAACTAAAGTCACTCCTACATTTTTGGCCAATGATCCTTTTCCCCTTCCCCTCAACCCCCTATATTTTAAATAGTTTCCAAATAGGGCTAGTCAATTTAGTTCCATTCTTTTTCCTACCCTCAACATCAGTACTAATGGGAACTCCGACAATTTCAGTAGCATTCATATCAATGCTAACGCTATCATGTTGCGATTGAATATTGCCGGCACCGAACATGCTGGGGAATTGGTTTCGGGAAGAGCTGACCATTTTTTAATTCTAAAAAATAAAAATTAATTTAATTAAACTCACCCGAATTATCGGTTCAGAATCTCAACTTGATTTCAACGGTCGAAGTCTCCAAGCCTCCCAAATTGCTAGCTTGAGATACTTAAGCAAGGCTTCTTCTTGTTGAAACTTGAAAAAATCGAGAGTCAAGACTTGAGAATTGGAGAGTGGAAAGAGAGAGAGAGAGAGTATTGAGAGTATGAAAGAGTGTTTGAGAGACTGAGAGAGTATTGAGAGTATGAAAGAGTGTTTGAGAGAGTATGAGAAGATAATTGTTGAATTGGTGTGGTG